TTAAGTAACATAAAGAAATAGTACAGCTTTAACCCAAGCTTTCAACAAAAGCTTTTAACAGAATCTTTTAACAAAAGCTTTTAACATAATATTTTAACAGAAACAGGGTTAACATAACGAATAACATGTATAAATGATAACATAAGTATATAAGTGAGCATGATAATGAATATAGCATGCGTGCTTCCGGATACAGTCGCTACAATATAGATTTAATAAATAGATAAAGGTAAATTTTCTAAGATTCATAAACATTCCCAAAGACATCACTTTTCTTACTTGTTTTGTTATGAAATCGGTTAACACTTAATCGTGCATAGTTTGGAGATGTAATTTCAAATCTCAAAACCCTAGTAAATCTCAACAATTTTCCGAAATATTTTGGCGAAAGTTTTAAAATATAATCAAACTCATAATTCCGGTGGAAAACCTGCAACTTTTCTTTTGGAGAGGCACCCTAATGTACTTACATATGTATCTACACATCGGGTCCTAACTGCTAAGATAACGTAAACAAAATTTGTTTCAAAATGTTCTTTTTGATGTAGAAATGCTGATAGAGCGTCTGGAAACATTTCTGCGTAAAAAAAAGTTTGAAACAAAAAAATATCGCTTAGGCTTTTTTTCGAGGTTAGGACTCGACATGTGAGTAGAAAAATAATAAAACGTTAATAGTTTTTTATCGCACAAATTTACCGATTTACAAAAAAATCGCTCGATCCAATATTTAATTTTTCAGATTTCTTGTTTCAAAATATTACGTCCTCTAAATTATCACCCATTAAAATACGCTATTGCTCTAAAGCAACGCTTCCTATCCTATCTGCACAAAAACAGACACCCGTTACATAAATACATTAGGGTAGTCCAAAAATGAATGCAACAAAAAGCGAAGTCGGAATTTTAATGTTCTCAGCCGCTAGGATTGTTGTATATCGAACAAAATATACCACTTCTTCTTGCCTCAAAATGCTCAAAGTTTCCCATGTATTTTACATGGGGAAAAAACAATTTTTTGTAGAAATGATATAAAATTAAACAAAATCTATATTTTTCAATCGGAAAATTTTCAAGAGACTTCAAAGAATGATAGCCATTTTTCCATATTACATGTTTTTTATTGATCCCTCCATTGCATTTTTGGGGAACCATTAAAAAATAATTAATATTAAAAAATTATTAAATAAACAATTGGCTATTATTCTTTGAAGTATCTTGAGAAGAAGCCGAGTTTCGCGATTAAAAATTTTGGTTTTCAAGGATTCTATACCATTTCTACGAAAAAAGTTTTTTTTTTATTTGTATACAAAATACATAGGAAACTAAGGCGAAGTCGCCTTGTGGGAAACTTTGAGCGCTTTGTGGCACCTCTTAATATGTTTTGATTCCAAAACAAAAAAGGTTTAACAATCTTAGAGGGTGAGAGCATTAAACTTCCAACTTTACTTTGTTTGGACCACCCTAATGTACATACACGTATGTATGTATATATTTATGTAGGTATTGTTAATACATATACTCGTATCGAATTTTCAAACTAACCATAGTTGCATTTTTCGATTTGCCTCTAATATTATATATGTATGTATGTATCTATGTACTATAAGTATGTGCGTTATATCACTTTCCAAAAACTTGACGGTTTATGTTCACTTTTGAGTTGTAAATACTTATCCTTTGTGTGCTTGTTCCACTTACAGCGATAATTCTTCAGTGGACGTATTCACATGTACACGTGGCACATCCTGCGGCAGTCGAATGTCCGTCAATATAACCACCTCGTATGGACTGCAGTCGGAGAGATGTAGAAACGAGCATAGCCAACCGTAGAAGCCCTTCTCTATGTCGGCTATCTCATTAAGCCAGCTATTAAATTGTAGACTCAATTGTGAAATGCCCGCATATATCCCCAAGCCGAGAGTGCAAACGAGTATACCGACAGGATAGGCAAGTATCAGGATGGGTGACATAAAAAATTTATAAAGGCATGATTTCTCCTCACTGAAGTAGTTGAACATATTGTACCAGGTAAGCGTGCCAATATAAAATGAATAGATGCTCGAGACTAATGTTACGAATGGAAGACATACTAGCGATAAGAAAAGGATATGTAGACCGGTTTGCGGAGTGCAGCTGCAACAGAGATTCTGTTGTTTATTCACTTGAACCGCAGCGGCAACAGCATTTATTTGCTCCAGCTCCTCACGACTAATATTTATTTGCAAATCGAGGCTTTGACCCTTCTTGCGTCCGCGTTTAATTGTACCTGTGTGGCAGAATGTCAGTAAGAAAATAGGACGATAAAATCGAAGCTCTTCATCTAACCCACCTGTCATAGTTAAGTAGTTACTGTCCATTGATCTACGCGTATTGTACCTCTCCAAACTATGCACATCCGTATTTAAAACGCTCGTTTCGCCCGATTCTAAATCCTCATAGTTAACAATTTCCGGTGACTCGCGTTGGCTGCGTACATGCAGCGGGTCAGTGCGTATATTAACACGTTTCTTTGAGGAAGAGCGATTACTTAGGCAATCGTGTGACTTTGCATCTAAACTGCTCTCTGAATAGCTACTCGGCGTTACTGTGGTACTTTCATGGCGATTTGTCGATTTCGTGCCCTGTGATACGCTCTCAAAATTCTGCAACTCGTTGTCATCTTCGTAAATATTATCCACAGATTGCGATGACTTGTGCGTTGA